CAGCGTCAAATACGCCCTACGCGCGTACTACTACTACTACTACTACTACTACTACTACTACTATGACTACTGCCACTACTACAATAATGGCTCTGCTATCAAAATATACCAAGTGGCCCGACCGCCCCCTCCCCTCCTCTGTATTTTCGAAGTAATGTACCACATAAACTATGTTCACAGCCTAAAGCCTCAAACCCTAAACAGCTCCAAACCCTATATAAAAACCCTAAACCCTGATCAACCCCAAAAAATCCAAAATTCCTACACTCTTGAGGAACCCTCAAAGACCCCAAATCCCAAGACTCTCACACTCCTAAACCCTAAACCCCTAAACCCCTTAACCCCTAAACCCCTAAATCCCTAAACCCTAAACCCCAAACCCCCAAAACCCCAACGAGTCCCAGTTTCGGTGCAACCAGGAAGGGGCTCTTTGCCTTTGCCCCGGACGCGACACGCAGAGCACTGCTATCAGCTCCTGGTTCTTCCTTGCTTGTGCCCAAAGAGGGTTCCTTTAAGAACTCCTTTAAGCGTTCTAAGATGGGTTCTACAGGGTTTAGGCTTAGGGTTTAGGGTTCAGGGTTCAGGATTTAGGGGTTTAGGGGTTTAGGGTTTAGGAGTTTAAGAGTTTTGGGCTGCTTATTTTTATCTTCTTCATTGTGGTTTCTACTATTCCCGATTCCCGATAGAATTACATACCAGTAGTTTTGGGTGCTAGGCTTTAGAGGTCTGCGTCCGTCTTGTAGGGAATTGCGTGTAAGGCTTTTTTGCTAAATTGTGTCGACGTCTCTTCGTCTGCCCACAGTAACAGCAGGCCTGTTCTGGGGCTAGGGGTTTTGATTTGAGATTGACCACAAAAGGATTGACCCTATAGCCCCTATATAAACCCTAAACCCCTAAACCCTAGACCCTAAACCATTCCCTTTGCATCTAAGATCCGTCTGGATCTGGGTGGAGTTTCCTTCGGCCTGCGCCGCCGTGAAGTGACGACTCGCAGAGGACGTGGTGACGCTTTGGGGATCAGCCTCAAGCTCGAAACTTCCCGCCTGAAAGCCCAAGCTTTCTGTGGAGACGACCTGAGAATTTCAGAAAACTAGGGTACCTTATTCTGGGGTCCTTATAGTAAGGATCCTACTTACATAGGGTCCTATATCAGGGTCCCTTCTTTTCTGAAACTCCCACCTTGTCCAGGGAGTTCGTCTCAGTGAACGGGATGAGCCCGGTGAAGGGAACCGCGGATAGCTGACAGGCTCTTTGCCAAAGGATGCTGCTGGAGACAAACCCGAATGTGTACACCGCTGCATAGCGGCCGCACCTCCTCAAGGGTTTAGGGGTTAGAGTCTAGGGTTTAGAGTTTAGGGTTAGGGGTTTAGGGTTTAGGGTTTTTGGGCTTAGGCCTTGGGGTTTGGGGTTTAGGGCTTTGAGCTTGGGGTTAGGGTTTCGGTCCTCAAGCACTTCTGCATCGTGGCCCCATGTCAGGCTAATTGTCGCACGAGCGTAAATGCAAATGGCGAACAAGTCCCGGGTCTAGCCACTAGCCCAGCTGTTCTTATCATGAGTAAGACAAGGCCCCTTTCTGTTCGAAATAGATAGAAGCTGGGTGCCCCAAAAAACAAGCGCCCCTACAGGCATGAATACTGGCCATGACAACATAACATAAACCACAATAACTATCGTACTCTCGACGGTTGCAATTGCTCGCCCCATGCTGTAGGGCATCATGGCATAATTGGTGCACACCAAGGACTTACAACAGCATCTGTGATTTAAGTGGTTGTAAATCAAGACTGCGCAGCCCCTTCCCCGATATCCCACACATGTTGAGCCAGATGGCCTGCATCCATAGAACCCGAGAGTTTGCAGCGAGATTTCTGGCAGAGGGCTTCATGAACTAACCAGAAGGGTCCAAGTACCCGAAAGAAAGGCAGGGGGGGCTCAGCGTAGTAGCAACTGTACGGTTTTGGGTTTAGGGTCTGGGGCTTGGGGGAGTCTAATTTTCTCAGATGTGTAGGAGGACGCTTGGCCATAAGGTCCAAGTACTTCACCCCTAAACCCCAAAACCCTCAAATACCTGTGGCCCGTGGCTCGTGGCGCCTGGAGCGGCTCTACAGACCTACAACATGTACAGAGTACCTGTTCCCAGAAAGGAGCGCTTAAAGGAACCCTTACCAAAGCAACCCCTTCAAGGAAATCGAGGGATCCCTTGCGGGTATGGCTAAAACCCGAAAGGTTTAGGGTTTAGGGTTTAAGGAAACCCCTAAATTACAGGGATCAAGGATTACACGCGCTTTGGGCTGGGGGATGGATGGCCTGGGGTCCAGCAAGAGCAGTGGCCTAAAAACGCCTAAACCCAACGTCGCAAACCTCGCCATCCTCTAGGCCCTGAATCTTAAACCCTAAACCCCTGAACCCTAAACCCCTAAACCCTAAACCCCTGAACCCTACACCCCTAAACCCTAAAACCTCCGAAACCCTAAACCCCTGAATCCTAACCCTGAAGCCCAAAACCACCGAGGCCCAAATCATAGCGGCCTCTGGAGACACCGATCGAGAAACAAGGTGAGTCACCTTTGCAGTCTTTTGAGGCTTTTGGGTTTATAGAGGGTTTTGCGTTCAATTAGGTCCAGAATTTATGAAGGGTTTCGAGCTTATGACGGTTTTGGGGTTTACGGTCTAGGGTTTATAAATGTCTGCAAAGGGTTTTAGGTTTAGGATGTTTAACGCGTTGAGGGTTTAGGGTGCTTCGCCCGGAAGGTTATATACGAGGCTTCACGACCACGCAGGGGCCTCGACAATTACAATAGGGTTCTTTTTTAAGGGTGTCTTAGAGGGTTCGATGAGGAATGGATAGGGTTTTGGAGGCCTTAGCAGCCTTTACAAGTACAATAAGGTTTGGAGGTATAGGCCGCTATACCGCTATAATGGGATGCTGTGAAGTTCCGTCGTTCGGGAGCTGAGGGTGTTGGGTCGAGGCTTTCTAGCTCCTTTTCCTGGTTGATGGAGAACGACAGTTCACCAGGAGCGAGAATTGCTTGAATGATCGGAGCCCATGAAACCTAGGACAGAATGGGCAGACATGGGACACTGTTATGCTGCCCGTGCTTCTCGTACACAATGGCATGTGCCTGACATCGGGGGGATGTTTCATGTCAGCTACCCGAAACCGCTTGCCCCTACCGCAAATTAAATCCGCTTGATGCTCGCGACATCCGAAGTCGTCGTTCGTGCCTCTGAGCGAGACTGCCTCGTCTACAACAAACAACACTTTAACGGTACCGCGATTGTAACTGGGATTTGAAGTAGCCAGGGAGAGAAAGAAGTATACACGTGTATTTCATACTGGTTCCTTTAAGGCTTTAAGGAACAGGTCCCCCTTAACCATAAACCAGAAAACCCCTAAAACCCTCAACCCCAAACACCCTAACCCCTAAACCCCTAAACCCCCCAAAACAGTATGCAAGTATGGGTACTCCACAGCCCAGGTATGATGCGTAAACAAACCTAAGGGTCCATGTACCCAAATTTAGGTTCTTGGTACAGGATCCGAGCCATAAGATGGATTAAACCAAACAACTACATTCCAGGGTCTATGTAACCCTAAAGGTCCATGTACCCAAATAGCATATACTTTGGCCTTAAAGTAGTCCCCATATAGGTGCTTTGGGGCCAAAGTATCTACTAGTTGGGTACATGGACCCTTACGGTTAATTAAGGAATATACCTTAAATCTTATAACGGTTCCTACTATAATATTCCTTAGCTAAGGGTTTTTTGTGAGTCTCTGGGTTCGAAAGCAACATTGCAAGCTACGGAAGCAATGTTGGAGGGTTACGGAAAGGGTCGCAGGTAGTAGGGTCTAGGGCCAGTTTAGGGTTTAGAGTTTAGGGGTCGTAGCTGGAGGTAGCAAGTTTAAGAGGTTTGGGTCACATGGTCGGGCTTAGGGAACATGCAACACTCACACCGTTGGAAGGGGCAGTAGGTCGCATGCATCGTTTCTGCTCTTGAAAACAGAATCTAAGCAAGGTATCATCATCGTGGTCGTCATCATGCACATCAGCGGCAGTATCATCACGATCACTAACGTGCTCACCAGCACTGACCAGCACCTTCAGCATCATGTTCACTATGTCACCATTTGCACCCTCGCCATCATCATCACCACCACACCATGTTGCAAAGGACATGCAAGTACAAATTCCTCCAGTGACAGGCATCTGCAACCAAGAAGAGCTGGTCGAATTCGCACAGCCTTCTCGTCAGTTGCTTTTTGTGCCTCTGGCTTATGGCTCAGCTTTTTCCTGCATGGTCCGAGAATAAGCGCACCATGGGCGCATCAAACAGGCTATTTGCCCAATCGAGCGCAGCCTTACCGTGTAAGTCTCTCAGGTCCATGTCAGCTCTGGCCTGCAAAGCCCCACGGTTCAGGGTTTAGGGTTTAGGGGCTCCATGTACCCATATAGTTCATACTTAGGCCTTAAAGTACCTATATAGGGACCTTCTTAAGGCCTAAGTATCTGCGGTAAAAGTACATGGAGCCTCAGGGAAGGCAGTACCAGTATGAGGCTACTGCAAAGGTACTACCAGCATGAGGCTACTAAACTAAGTATAGGTTAGGGTTTAGGGTTTAGGTTTAGGGCTCTGGCCTGCCAAGGTAATACCAGTATGAGGCTTCTGTAGTGTAAAGGTACGATCATCTATAAGATCACTAGACTATAAGGGTACGATAGTGCTATAGGGGCAATACAAAGGTCAATACAAAGGTTACTATACTATAAGAGTTCTATATTACTATAAGGACAACATAATAAGGGTACGACAACGCGATAAGGACAACACAAGGTTACCATGCTATACTATACTAGACTATACTATACTATACTATACTATACTAGACTATACTATACTATACTGTTATATATTAAGAAAATACATCACAATATACGTTACTGTACTAGACTGCATGCTATACTATACTTTCCTATATGATACTGTACTTTACTATGCTATACCATTCCATACTCTAAGGCAACTTTATAAGGGCACAAAACTCTGGCCTGCAACAGCAAGCTCGCAACCTCCTTGCGGCCGCGCCCGGCCGCATAATGCAGTGCCGTCATGCCGCGGTGATCGGCCATGTCCATCGAAGCCGTGGCCTCCAGCAGGCAACGCACCACGCCGACATCACCCGCGTCCGACCTTACTTGTCCAGTATCCTAGGGGAAGAAAAGGGTTAACCATTGGGATGATATAGGGATGATCAGAATACCCTAAAACGGCTAATTAAAGGTTACCTATTCTACTGCCAAGCAACGCCAAGTGGAGAGCTGTCCTGCCACGGCAGTCGGTCAAATCCTTGTCCACTCCTGCGCGTAGCAGCGATTGCACGGCATCCGCACGTCCCTTTTCGGCTGCCCAGTGTAAGACAGTTCCATTGCCGTCGTCGCTAAGGTTGCTTCGAATCCAGGCCTCATCGGCCCCAGTAGCTAACAAGAGACAGACTACCTCCACATAATCCTTCGAATATGCCAAATCCAGCGCTTTCCTGTCATGCCCATCTGCCAGGTCTATACTTGCGCCGGCTGCCAACAGATCGCGCACAGCATCCACGTTGTTTCGGGAACATGCTAAGTGAAGAGCTGTCTTTCGATCCTCACTAGTCCAGTTTCCTACAGCTATATAGGGATGATATTAAGATATGTATATATATATATATGTATATGTATGTGTACATATATATATATATATATATAGGTATGCAGCTCCATAAAAAATGTAAAGGTTCCTCCTTAAAGGCTACCTATTCTACTGTCACCAAGGGTCCCTGTCGAGCAGGTCGACGTTAGCTCCAGCCTCCAGGAGCATGCGCGCGGTACCTAAGCTCGGCCACGGATGCATGTCTGAGGATACGACGCATGACCTGGGGTTTAGGGTTTAGGGTTTAGGGTTTAGGGATCGGGGTTTAGGGTTGACAATGAGAAGATCTTGTTGTCACAATGAACCCTGAGGCTCCATGTACCTTTATAGTAGATACTTAGGCCCTAAAAGGGGTTCCTACATAGGTACTTTAAAGCCTAAGTTTGTACTATAAAGGTACATGGAGCCTTGTGGAATGAGAAGATCTTGTTTGTCATAGATCAGAACCAGCCCCCTCAACGGTTCGAAGGCTGCAGCGGAGCCTACAATGTGAAAGCCAGCTTGAGCAAACTGCCATCCATCACAACACCCAAAGGGTCCATGTGCCCAAATAGCATATACTTTGGCCTTAAACTAGTCCCCATATAATATAGGTACTTTGGAAGAATCTACTATTTGGGTACATGGACCCTTAGGGATCACTCTACACAGATTGTTTTGCATGAGATAAGATACCCGTGGCCACCCAGCAGAAGGAGTACAATACCAATAGCCCCAAGTCTAGATAGGCTCATGGTCTGAAAAACCTACCTAAGGCGACACATCCCACGATGCAGCCTCCTAAACCATATGCTTCCCTAAACCCATGAATCCTTGCATACACCCTTAAACGCTACAGACCCTACATAGCCCTAACACTAACTAAATGCAGCCTCCTTGCCAGTGTAACCTTGGCCCACGGCCGCATGGAGCGGCGTCGTGCCCCTATTGTCCGCCAAGTCTTTGTTAGCTCCGGCCTTGCAAGTTGTTGCGGTTTCAGGATTCGATATGGGGGGTATAGGGTTTAGGGCTTAGGGGCTTACGGACTCAGGGGTAAGCAGTTACTATGAGTTACGCTGCGACGCTCTGAAACAATAAGGTCTTGAGTTTGAACCGTTGAGTTTGATTGAATACCACACCGCATCACACCTTGCACAAAAGCAGACGCTATGGCCACCAGACAAAAAAACAACACAATGTCACAACTGTATCAAGTCTTTGCGGGCCACTCCAAAGCTTGCTAATTCTCACAGGCATTGCTGCGAGCGGCCCAGTGTGGGGTTCAGTTTACTGTTTTGGGTTGAGCATATTAGAAAAAATCAAGGGAACTCAGGCGTTTCTTCACGTCTGTCCGCACTGGTGCTGCAATTCCCAGCCTCTAGCAGCAAACTCACCGCAGCAGGATGATTGTTGTAGATGGCCCAGTGAAGAGCGGGCTTGCCATCGGAATCCCCGATGTCCCTAACGCAGCCGGCTGCCAGGAGTGCACTGGCCAGGCGACAGTTGCCTGAAGGACTGCGGATGCATTGGCACCGGTGGGCCGTGCCTCACCGCCTACACTTTCGGGGAACATCATCATCTCGTAGGATCGTCCATCACTGACGGAAGCAGCAAGAGAGGACAAGCTGATCGTGCCCGGAAACTACTCGGAACGTCTGACCCCCAAGGCACGAGAGCAGTTCTATCTGTCTTGAACAGGATGCTGCTACAGTTGCGCCGGATACCGCGCCTGTCCACTCAAGCAAGACTTGGTTCAACCATGTTCAGTAAGAAGGGAAGATTTTTGAGGGCAGGCATCAAAGCCTGCCCGTCGCGTCTTCGACTCGACAGTCGCCTGATTGCTGCTAAAGAACTTTCCCTTAGTATCACACCAACTCCTGATGCTAGCATACTCTTTGGTGAAGAATCAATGGGAATCATCACTAAGCTGGCCTTGGGCACAGGATTGATGGAGGGCTGTCATGCCATTCTGATCCACCACGTCCATGTTGGCCTGCATTTCCAGCAGTAAGCGCACGATGTCCTCATGCCCCGCGCGAACGGCCGAAAGCAAGCCCTCCTCCTTGTTGATGCCTGTGCAAACGGCATCCTCATCTGCGGCATCACATGTCTCAGCCATCAGCATCAAGCGCACCATGTTGACCCGCCCTCTCTCAAGTGCCACATGGAAGGCCTGCTTGCCACTCCTGTCCACGAGGCTCATGTCCGCCCCCGCATCCAGCAGCAAGTGGGCCAACTTCAGGTCATTCTCCGTGGCTGCCATGTGGAGGAGGGTTCGGCCAGTGCTGTCGCGAAGGTTCGCATCCGCCCGGGCTTCCAGCAGCAGCTGCACCACTCTCTCCTGACCCGCTCCCGCTGCCTCATGGAGGGCCGGGTCAGGATCCTGAAGATCCTGCAGCATCCTCTCCACCTCACCCAGCCTTGCTTGTCCAGTCATAGGGTCATAGGGGAGCTAAAGCCAAGTTAGCCGGCAAAATGTAGGATTACCTACGGATTCGAGTACCGCGAAAAGGTAGCGAAAGGCGCGAGACGAGCTTTGCAAATTTGCGACTTGGGCTGAGAAGCTTGGTGGCAAGCAATGACGCAACGGACGAGGTGTGACTCGAGGAATGGAATAAGGATTCAAGAAAGTGTCGGACGTGGGACCCCTAGAGAAGGTTGGGGCAGTTGGGTGGGGAATTCAATGAATGAATCAAATTAGTAATACCATAACGAAGGTGAAAGGATACTCACACAACAGCATGTCTATACGCAATATAAGTACATGTAGGTTCTAATACCCGCACAAAAACTTTTCTCAATTCCTAAACCCTAAAACCCAACCCTCCAGTTACCTACCAGATAGGGCCCTAGGTGAAAGGATACTCACACAACAGC